TGATTACTGCTTTTGTGAAAAGAACAGCAGCATATGGTTTGAGGACAGCGGCGAAAGAGAGCATTTGAAAATTACTATAGACCATCCCTGTGACAACTGAAACTCTGAATCGAAGTCGGATTATTCGATCGCGACAACAAACACATTAAATAATTACATCGGGACAAAACAGCTCCGGCGCCCGCGAACACTGCAATAATCAGAAACACGCACACCGATAACAAAATGCAATAATGAAATAAATGTCAATAGCAGTTAGAGGGAGGCCGGGCGGCCGCCCCCGGAACGCGGGGGCGGCTCTGAAAAGGTGTAATTCCGGAATACAATGAAACCGATTAGCCCCCGCCGCGCACTGTTACAGAATTAATTATCAAATTAAATTAGAAATTAACTCGTTCAATGGGAGTGCTTGTCGCGTTCGCGAGTCGACAGACAGGGAATTGGGAATTTTTGTTTGGATTACTCCTCGACTGAGATTGCGACACTTGATTTTAAAGGAGTTCGAATATTGTGCTCGAAGAAGTGCCGCGGTTCGAATTGGTTCAAGTTTTCGGTTTGAAGTTCGAGTGAATTAAATTAGAAATAGTTCGAACACGCAGAGGAGCTACAAATTTTGTTTATTTCGACTTCATTCCATAAATTCGACTTTCAAGTCAAAATTTCGCTCTTGAACTCATAATTCCACTCGAAAGCCGATAGAAGTTTCAATTATAAACTCATTATTTCAACTTCAAAGCTCTAATTTATACTTTCAGTTGTGTTTTTGAGCTGTCAAAGTTAAAGCTTCAACTCAGAATTCACAATTCAATTATGACTTTAAAGTTGAGATTGCATTTTGAAATTCGCAAATTTGACTTTGAAGTTGAACTTCAAGTAGACATTTTGCCTTAAAACTCGTATGTTTGAACTTAACCTAGAACTTTGAAATATGCAGGTAGGTACATTGTAGAACGTAAATAAGCATCAGAAAAGAAAATCAGGAATTTTCACACCCAAAGGGAAAAAATAGGGTTTCAAAGATTGTATTGAATTTTGTTAGTTTTGAAGTTACAACCTGGAGTTTTGGGTTGACGAAAGAATATTATAACTATTTGTTTGAAATGATCTGTCAGATCTGCCAGTATACAGATGGATTGCAGTGTGCAAGGCTTATTAAATTGAGACCACAAAGAAATGAGCGGATCAAACTGGTCTGGGAATGCCATGAAGAACTGAATGAACTTGCAAACAGGAACATATTAACTTTGGACTGGGTGCCAGGGCATTCAGGAATCACAGATAATGATAAAGCTGATGAATGCGCTAGACGCGGATCATCAACTTCATATATAGGTCCTGAACCAGCTCTGGGGGTACCAAAATCATTGGTAAGAAACCAGATTAGGATATGGACCAATAAAAGCACACAGAGTACTGGACAAAAGTACCTGGCAACAAACATAGTAGAACCTTCATTAGGGAACCGGCCGAGAAAAGAAGCGAATAACTACTTCAATATAGTAGGGATCGGCTCAGAATAATTACAGGGTTACTAACCGGTCATTGTCCGCTCAGAGAACACCTGAATAAAATGGGGCTGTACAATGGAGACCTCAGCTGCAGATTATGAAACGAAGGGACAGAAACAGCTCTACACATCTTATGCTAATGTGAAGCACCGAATCACAGGAGGCAGGCAATATATGGACGTACGAAATTACGTCCAGAAGAATATGACGAACATCCAACACGGACCTGTACAAATTAGTACAGGGAACGAGACTGATGGAATGGGTGTCATGAGAGGATGGGAGAATAAACGCAATAAGCATAAGAGGCTGCAGTGTTTTCTGGAGACTTGGACTAAATGGACAAGTCAGACAGCTCCCAAGGTACCAAAGAAAAAAAAATGATCTGTCACAAAACTTAATGTGACAAACCAAATTCTACGCGGGCGAAACCGCTGGCAACAACTAGTTTAAAGTCATGATTTCGACTTCAAATTCTAAATTACGACTTTGAAGTTGCAATTGAACTTTAAAACTATCAATTTTGACTTCTTCGATTGACGACTTGTTTATTTTGTGGAAATTCATGTTCACTGAGGATACACTACAAAACACACTTTTGTCTAGACAAAAGTGTGATTTGTAGTGTATCCTCAGTATCAATTTTGACTTTGTGTTGAATTTCTAATTTTGAGTTTCGTTTTCAAACTCCTAATTACGACTTCAAATCCAATATTTTGACCATAAAGTTGATGTTTCGACTTCAGTCTCATAATATCAACTTTACATGAATTAATTTAACTTTGAAATTTCAATTACGGCTATAAAAACTAATTGATATTTTCAATTTCTAATTCAAACCAATGCTTTTGACTCAGAATTCAAAATGTTGATTTTAAATTCGCAGTTTCATCTTTAAATTTTTAATTTTTCTCTTTAAATTCCATATTTGAATTTTATCTCACGATTTTAATTTAAAATAGTAAATTTCGACGTGAAACTTGTAATTTCACGTCATACAGTATTGCCTTCAAATGTTCTTTGGGCAATAAAGCATATTATTTTTTTTTCCACCGTAGTGTGCGCTGGTCAGGCCCTATCCCCCGAAGCCCCGATACATTCGGGAGGGCACGCCAGCATTATCAACCAATGACCACAACCCACACCGTGGGGTAAATGATCATTGGGTCCGAGAATCATGTACCCTGAACGAGCGCAGTGAGCCAAGAATGACAGCCTTCTGCATCTGTGCGGCTAAGATTTCTGCCTTAGTGGGGCAAGCCGGTATGATTTTAAGATTCGACTGTACAGAGGACATCATTCCACCAAGGACTCCAATAATCAGAACAACCATCTTGACAAAGTGATCTGGATAGATGGATAGATATTATTATTATTATTATTAGTTGCCTTATTGATTGGAGTGTCCGGTTCTATAGCTCTGGTCGTACTTGAGGGTTCGGGTTTTTGTTGGGCCGGGGGAAGTATGCCTGAGACTTCAGGGTGTTCCAGGCCGTGCGCCATCCTCTATCTGATCGCCAGTAGGTACTCCTCAAGGATGTCCTGGATTTGCTCCTTTGGGTCTTCAACTGCTCCCAGGAGTCTGGCTGGGGGAAACGGGAACTTCTTCCTTGGTATCCTTCTGGGTCCTGCTCATGGCGTCCAATGGGTGGTGAGGGTACTGATGGCAGCGGTGTTTTTTGTGCTTCTCATGGCTTTCGCAGCGTATCGACCTTGTAGTTCCTGAAATCTCAAGTTAATTGGGGTAATATTTATTCGGTTATATGAATCTTGGGAGGGGTATCGGAATGGGAGGTTATGGATGTTTCGTAAGATTCCTGAGTTGTTAGTTTGCGGTGGGTTCGTCTCTGGAAGAGCGTACAGTAGATTGTGGCTTCAAAATCCAAGATCGGTCTCATGAACATTTTGTACGTGTGTAAACGAGTCTTGCTGTTGTATCTACCAAGCTTGCCTCTCAGAGCCTTTAGGAGATTGACTCTTTTCCGGATTTTGTCAAGAGTTTCTCTAAGGTCGGTCTGCCAGTTGAGGGTACTCGTGAAAGTAACCCCCAAGTAGGACACCCAGTCCTGAAGTTGGAGGTTATCTCCTAACAGTCTGAGGTGCAAGTTGTTGGTACTTAGTCTGGGGCGAGTAGTGGTATTAGGATGTCCGAATAGGATGGTTTGTATTTTTGTGTTTTGGAGGGGTTTATTTTGATGCGCCACTTGTTGCACCAGAACTCGAAGTGGTTTATCATTGATTTGGATTGTGTTTGTAAGATGCTGGTATTAGAGGTGGAGGAGTAGAGGATTGTGTCATCGGCATATTGTAGGAAAGGGGCTAGGACTGAGCCCTAGGGGACTCCGGATTGGGTGATAGGAGGCTACTAGCCTAATGAAATGTGGAGGAAGTTGGATTTGGATAAGTTTCCAGATCAGGCCCGCATGCCAGACCTTGTCGACAGCTTTCTGGATGTTTTTGGGATTGGCGACTGTGCCATAGGAAGAATTGATACTTTGAGAAATATGTATATGGAGTTCGACTAGTGCGTTTTGGATGGAGTGTTCAGGTCTGAAACCATGTTGGTGAGGGGGGGATAATGTCGGTGTCGTGTATAAATTCGTTCAATCGTTTTGGTTTGTCATTAGTCTCTCAAAGAGTTTTCCGAGACAGCTGAGCAGGCTGATGGGTCTGTAGGAATCGGGTTTGGTGTGGTCTTTCTGTGGTTTGGGGATCAGGATAGTATTAGCGTTGGAAAGTATTCATGTGTTAAGCATGCTTCTAGGATGTGTTTGAGGAACGGCAGTGAAGTCTCGGGGAGGTTTCTTAGTACTCGGTAGTTTACCGAGTCAGGATCAGGAGCGATATTTCTACCTTGCAATTGAATAGGTATTTAGTGAGATATTTCAGTTTGGAGCAGACTCATAAAAATGGACAAAACTTTTTAAACAACATGATATTTCTAAGAAAGCATTTGCTCTAGGCTCTATGGAATATTTCCCAAAAATGAAACAATAATAAAAACTTAGTTTCAAAATCTGAATTTTAGAGTTTGTTTAGAATAGAAAAACCAATTTAATTTCATTTCAATCTTTCAAAAAAATCTGATGCATTCAATCGCAATTCTCAAAGTGCAGCCTATCTTTCCAATGTTCCATCGTTTTCACACATTGACAGACTTATTCAAAATATATTAGGTATATTATATACGAAGTCAATTGGAATGGCATAAAAACTAAATAGTTACCGAACGTTGGCAGTTTCTTTGTATGGCATGGGCGGTGTGGTACATTTTTGTTTTCGAGATGAATTTTATTTTTCATGAACGTACACGGATTTTTATTAGAAGTAAAAAGTAGTTCACAATACATCATGATAAATTTTTTGTTGATAGACAGTACCGTACTCGTCCATTTCAAAACAATACTATTAAAATTTGTTCTACTGCTAGTTTGAACAGTGTTTCACAGGAATAAAGTATGAATCTGAAAAGTATTTTCTGTTTTTTTCAAGGTGTGGTTTCAAAATAGAAGAGCGAAATGGAGAAAAACTGAGAAGTGTTGGGGAAGGAGTACAATAATGGCTGAATACGGGCTCTACGGTGCAATGGTGAGGCACTCCTTGCCTCTTCCCGATACTATCCTCAAGAGTGCGAAGGAAAATGAAAGTGTAGCTCCCTGGCTGTTAGGTAATGACTGTATGTCTATTTCTCAAAGCAATTGGGGTACAACTTTTCTATTGGTGCAAGTAAGAACTCATTGGTGGAGCTAACTAAAAGAAACTTCGAACAAATTGGTTTGTTCAAAATTTAACTTCCTTATTGGATTGTGAAAAAAAATAGAGTTTGAAGGGAGGTAGAAAAAGACCAATGAAATGAAAAAGACTTTGAATACATGTCTATGAATCAACCACACGTAATTTGTAAAACTGTACATGTCGTTACAGTTGATTGAATATTTTGTTTTTTTGCTTGAAACATTTGAAGTTTTTTGTGACTGCATCAATATGAAGTTGGTAATCCATTGCTTCAAATATGTAATAATATTTCGATAAATTGTTGTTTTGAGGTCAACATCAACATAATATCGGCACTAATATCATTCATGCAAATAATAATAACCAGATTTTTCTCTGTGACAAGACATATTTTTATTGAATGATTTTTTTTTATTTTCCTCATGGAAAATGGAAAAACTTCCGGCATTTCACGTCACTTGTATCCTATTTCATTTTCGACACCATAAATTCACTAAGGTAGTTAATGTTTTAGTTAATGTATGTTCATAATATTTACGGGAAAAATGGTTTCGTCTTCCTACTTCTACATCTTCATACAGAAAAAAATGTGGGAATCTTGCTTTCTTCGTTTCTTCTGAAGATTTCCACATTTCTTTGTGTGAAGATGGAGAAGTAGAAAGCCAAAACTTTCTTTTCCCAAAAGACAAAATCTCCCAAAAATATTTACTGAATATTACTGGAGTTCTTTCTCAACATCAAACCGTTATTTTAACACCTCGACACGTGTTTCGATCACCAGTGATCTTCAAGAGAAAAGGGAAAAGAATTCAATTCCATTTGGTCATCCAGTAAATGTTCCAAAGTCTCCGAAATCTCTATCAATTTCCAAGCGTTCCAAACTTTTCTTTTCCAAATGCAAGAATACATGCCAGTCTGTCAAAAAGATGGTTTTCAAATGTCTAATTAGTATTCGCATTCAATAATTTACTCTAATTTTTTTATTCAACGGAAACAGATTCTCCCCGTTTGGCCAATAATTATATAGTTATGGGCAAGAACCGAAACTCAGGTTTTGTCTTTATTGATTCTGAAAAATTTGCTCAAATTATTGAATTAATATTTGTTCTGTGAGCCGCGTATAAGTTTTTCTTTTTTAAAAAATGAGCAGTGTTTTTGGTGGGTTCACTAAAGTACGTCAATATCCTATGACGCATATTATTGTGTCTTGAAGTGGGATAGATCTGGTAAATAGCTTGGAAAAAATTATCATCGTTGTGTGCCTATTAGTATTTGGAAATGTCGTTGAATGCATCTATAATATACGTTATTTGATAAAAAAAATAATTCTCCTGTTTATTTTCTCTCAACCATATCTGATGACAAATTTTAATTATAGATTTGTCTGAAGATGATTTATTTTTTGGCCTTATTTTATTTGAATGTTATAACGAGTTATTTTTTACTAGACGTGTTCTATTGAACAATATTTGAAGAAGGTGGTAACATAAAAATTAATGTTTTCACCTGATGGGTCCAATCTGAAACTAAAATAGATTCCTTCAAGGTTAATTTTATATCAATATTTTTCCATTCTTGAAGACTGGCTATAAATCAAATCATCTAAAGGAACAATTCGTTCAGGCTAGTCTCAACTTCCTACACTGTAGGTTAATGGACTGACACACCCATCAGAAAACAACTACTCCCCTGGCTAATACCACAAAGGGCGTTGGATTATATCCGGCAGGTGTCAGTAAAGTTATTCCTGCATATGCTGTTGGTGATACAACTGCCGCTATTGGACACTCTTGCAGACCGGTTTCGGGCTGTTTGGCCACTCGTCAGTGCAGGGTAGTGTTTATCATCAACATAAAGTCGATGATTTTCGATCATTGAAAATCGAATTCCTTCAGAGTATCATTTCTCGAACTAGGCTGAAGCGGACAACAAACAATAGGTTTGTCATCGCCCCATCTGCCTGTGAACGAGGTGACCAACCGCATATCCGAAATTTGCCCAATTCCTCCTGGTTACCTCGTTCACAGGCAGATGGGACGATGACAAACCTATTGTTTGTTGTCCGCTTCAGCATAGTTCGGGGAATAATACTCTGAAGGAATTCGATTTTGAATTATCGGTAATTATCGACTTCGGGCCAAACAGCCCGAAACAGGTTTGCAAGTGTGTTCCAATAATTGAAAATCGATTGCGGCAGTTGTATCACCAACAGCATATGCAGGAATAACTTAAGTGAAGAATCCTGCACTGATACCTGTCGGTTATAATCCAACGCCCTTCGTGGTATTAGCCAGGGGAGTAGTTGTTTCCTGATGGATGTCAGTCCATTAACCTACAATGTAGGGAGTTGAGATTGGGGTGAACGAATTGTTTCTTTAGATGATTTAATATTCTTCCAATTGATTTGAAATCCCTGAAAGAATCTGAAAAATATTAAAAAAAGAAATGAAAAATTAAAAGATTCTAAACCAAGTAATTCCACAACGCTTCGATAGTTAGTATCCACAATCGTCTTCGGATGATAACTGATAACTGCAGTTTCTTTCCTACTTCTTGAGCCTTGATCCCATGGATCTTTTGGTGGTTCCGATGTATACCAATAGACAATAAGCAACAGAAATCCACAAACACAGGGATAATTTCAACAGAACATAAGAAGCTGTGAACCTCAACCGAATGTGAAATCCCATTACAAACAGTCCATGAATAACAAGTAGAATGATGGCAGGTAGGAAAGGATCAACGAATGTTATTGACAATTTATCTAATCCAGGTACAGGTATTAGCACATCAAACTACCTGAGTAAACATAAATATCCCTTACGCAGCCATACTATCCAGTCAGGATGTAAGAACCACTGAAGAAGCGAGACAGTCGCATCAGCGAAACGTCAGGAAAAAATCCCAGAAATCGACGGCCTTCAAAAGTCGAAAAATAGCGGCACTGAAAACCTCGGCCACGAGAGCCTCAACATTTTTTTTGCGCCATTGACTATTCTTAGTTTTATTGATCTGGGATAATACTGTCATCAACTCTACAACTCTCAAATTGCAATAATCCATTGTGAGAAACTTCTCTGGTCTCTAGTAAAAGTAAGCAGGTAATCTAGGTGCAGTTCTTTGAATATCAAAGAAGATTACTTGGAAATAGGATATATATGACAGGGGTTGCATTTGAAAGATTAAAAGAAAACCGCCATTTCATTTCTCATTTCATGTGTCTCTCAAAAGAATATTTTATGGAAGGTATGCCTCCTTCAGGAAACCGAAAGAAAACATAATGGTGATTTAATACTATCATATGGAAATTTACCGGAAAATCTCAGACAGAAAGTATCTCGGCCGAAGAAATTTTTAATTTATTTTTCATTACAATCAATTGGAATGTTTATGGAAATACTAAAATTGCCTTGAGGTGTCTAGCCATTATGTTTCAAATCAAGAAGAAAATACTTTCTGTTTTTTTTTATCCTTCAACTTATGATGACGATTGCTCATGAAATCGCCGAAGAAAAATATTTTTTTTCAATTTTGGTATGTATTTGCGGTAATGAGTTAACAATTCGTTAACCATAATTATAATTTCGTGTACTTTCAGTTCCAGCACTTTTTTTCAGAGCCAGAATAAGGATGCTTCATTTTTAAAAATCTGCAATGTAGAAGACAGTTTTTAAAGAAACGCTAAATATTTTCACACAAACAATAACAAACAAAACAAACGAATTTATTATTTTGGCGGCAAGTAGGAGTAAAACATTATTGTGTATACAACTCTGTTCAAAAAAAGGTGAATTTACATTGTTCCAAAATAAAAATGGATTTATTCATCAATATCTGTTTTGTCCCTTTCGAAGTAGTCCCCCTCAGATATAATACCCTGACATTTATGATATGGAACTTTGATCTTTGAAAATTAGAATTTCCCGTCATTCCGAGAAAATTTCGGAAAGGTGGAACGAATGTCACAGAAAACTGCAAAAATTTCTCAATAAATACTCTAGGTGGCTCAATTTAGATGACTCGGATTTTAGTATTTCAGTTATCCAATCTACTTGTCAACGCTCAGGACGCCCTGGAAGAAGAGTTTTCTAATTAATTTAAAATACATCTATTAGCAAGTTTACGTCTCTTCCCGTATTCTGGGACTCCAAACGTTAAATGTAGGAAAGTTTTATTTTTTTGGTATATAAAATTGAGTTTTGACCGCTGTGTGCTCGCAATCGTGTCAAAAAATCAATTCGATATTATTTATTTATTTATTTATTTATTTACGGACTTGCCATTATACAATGAACACATAAATAGTGTGATTGAAAAATAAACAATTGAATAATAATATAGAATACCAAAAAAAATCAATTAATTAATAATAATACTTTTAACCTGATTTTAAAAAGAGTACAAGGATGAGTCAAACAAATCAATATAGCTGCTATTCTTATTTGCTAACCTAAGAATTCTAGTAATGGTTTCATTCAAGCCATAGCTAGTAGAATGGTAAGAAACTTTAAACAACTCCGACACTCTGGTTTTCCTTGAATTTACAGTTCATATCACCATTTATAACTTTATGAAGGAATCTTAAATCAATTTCAGCTCGGCGGTGCTCCAAAGTAGATACATTCAGAAGAAGCAGAATGTCTGAGTACTCATAGTCGGATCTCAGATATCCGAGCTCAAATGCACATGATCTCAGAAATTTGTTTTATACTTTCTCAATCATAGATATGTATGTCTGATATAGAGGACTCCATATCACGCAATTATTTTCCAAGACCAAGCGTACCAAAGAATAGTACAAGATTTTAAAGGTATTTATAGAAAATTTATCTGTGGATCGTTGAACAAATCCCAATAATTTGAGTGATTTAGATATAATGTGATCAATATGACCTTTAAAGGTTACTTGGCTATCAAATAACACTCCCAAGTCCCGAACGCTGTTAGTCAACGTTAGATTAATGTTTTGAATTTTATATGGATACTAGTACTATGTTGCTGTATCGCTGCTGTTTCAATGTTTTGACAGAATCAGAATCAACGAACTTCGGCGTGCGCAGCGTTATAGAACAGTGCTTTCAAAAAATTGTTCTGTAACTCGCCATCTATTGGCGAGTTACAGAAAAATTGATAGCCTAAAAACCTTCTCTATGAAAAATTACTCATACATGTCAAGTTTCATCACGATCGGTTGAGCCAACCAACCAATGTTTTCATGAAACCAACGAGATAAGTTATTTGAATCTATCTATAACAGTTCTGCATCAAAAAAGTTATCTACAACTCTGTAAAGTTTGAGATCATCTGCAAACATTGAAGAATAGCTGTGGCATATGTCACAGGACACATCGTTTACAAAAAGAATGAAGAGTATTGGGCCTATATGCGATCCTTGAGGGAACCAGACGTTACAGGAATTTGTGATGATATGGAACCAGCATATTTAACATACTGCAGTCTATTATCCAAATAACTCTTCATCCATTTTGACATGTTACCACTAATGCCTAATGCTAGGAGCTTAGCCATGAGAAGATCATGATTTACCATTTCAAAGGCTTTAGAGAAATCAGTATAAATAGAGTCAATTTGGTGTTTTTCCTGTAGGTTATTCAAAAGAAAATATAGCAATATAGCAATATAGCAATAAATTCGTAGTGAGACCCCAAAGATCAAATAAGGCCAAGTTTCAGAATTTTGGCGTACGTAATAAGTAACCTCCTAGCGGACTTATAATTTAAAACACTAAAATCGCATGATCCTACCCCCTCTATCAGTTCCCTCTGAAAGTGCCAGACATTGTTGGAATGCAGAGGCTGAAATCGTCAATTGAAGGTTCGAATAAAATCCGTATGATGCCGCCACGATATACGATCGATAAGAAGCTTTTTCTCTTCTCTGTCTGTTCGTATATAACGGAAACAACACTACAGCTTGTTTCCACTTAGACTTTCATCAAAGCGAGTCATGGGAATTTACGAGTAAATATAGTAATAACATTGATGCTTCAGAATGAATCGACTGACGAGTAGAGATTATGTTAATGAGTATAGCGGTAAATACGAATGTGTAAGCTACCTACTGCCTTCGTCGAAACTTCTCAGGATTGAAACTGGCGGAGTTCCATTACAGAGTGTACCAAAATTAACGCGCCGTGTGCAGAATATGGAGATATACTTTCCATGGAGGATTTGATTAGAAGGTTTCTTTTTATAATTTTCTGATTGATTTGGCCGTTACTTGATGAAGATCCATAGTAATTTCATAAACTACACCTCACGATTTGATTCCCACAAACTTTATTTGAGAAATATAACACGACATTCAAATCACTGTTGAATAAATTTCTCAAATAAAGTTTTATAAACCCTACAAAACTGAATTAGACAGTACGAATTATGATATTACATGTTCAATGCCTGGCATCAAATTTCACAAAATAATAAAGCCAACACAAACATATTGCGGTACATACCGGACTTGCAACACTTTTCTCGGATTGCGTTTCTTCACTACAGTTAGCGTCATCCTCAGGTAAACTATACTAATTCCTAATCTAGCTTCGTCCATTGATATCTAGAGTATACCTTTACTTTTAGTCATACATCAATAATGTATGATTCAATGTACTTTAGTTCATATGAAACAACAATTAACTTCGAACAAAGGATTGATGGATATAGCCGTTACTACGTGGTAGGAAATCATAATGAAGAAAAGAGAATTGAAACTTTCAATGTTATTTACCACTTCTATTTGTAACTAATATTACTGCAGTTTCGTCCTATAAGGACATATTCAAACTTATACATTAAACTAACAATGATTTATTACATCAGCCCTTATAAACCACCCCTGTAGGTAATAATAGAGGTACTTGGCTTAATTGAGTACCTGAATTTACAATTTACAAAGCGGATGTGCCAGTTTGATAACCGCTGAGTAAACTAAATCGATTTGATCATTTAACAGGTTGCACCCAAAATGTTTATGCTTGTGAATTTCCAAAGATACAAAATAATTTAGTTTGTAACCCTTCCTTGCATAGTGCAAAATTACAGTATCGTTTAGATTCGGAAACTTGTGGTTGCATGGCAAGAAATGGTTTGAAAACATTGAAAAATTTTTTCCTAGTCTGAAGGACCTTTCATCTTCAGCATACCGTTTTTGGAAATTTCGACCACATTGTCCCACATAAACACTATTACACTCCGAACACTCCTTATCTTTGGCATTGAAAAGGAAATGAGATAACCTGGCATGTGGTCTGAATTCCACTTCCATATTGTTTTTGTCTGATGAAACCCGCAATTATCTCTGTTCTTTTCCAAAATATGTTAGAGTTACCCATTTCTTGATTTCTGGTTGTATGACCTGAGGGTATATTAATTTGTGAGTGAATTTACGGCTTTGTTTTCTGAGTAACTTCTGGATAGTATCTGCGTTATTATTATGACCTACTTCTGTAATTATATCAATTTTCCTAGCTAGATTGTTAGCAGACAAAGGCAGTGAGAATGCTATGTGCAACATTGAATTGTAGACTGCTAATTTATGACTGGATGGAAAGAATCGCTTGGGATGGTAATGTTTGTATAGCTAGGTTTTCTGAAAACATTGAACTCAAATTTATTCTGATTATGTGTGATGGTCAGGTCTAAGAAATGTATCTGTTTCTCTATCTCTGTTTCGAGTGTGAACTGAATGTTGCTATTGAGATTATTCATGAATGTCATAAATTGGTTCAGCTGTCGTGTAGTACCTCTGAAACAGGCGAGAATATCGTCTACATATCTGTACCAAAAATTAATATGTTTTTTACCCAGGTCGGAATTCACTATAGTGGTCTCCAAGCTGTTCATAAATATGTCTGCTAAAAGTAGACTAAGTGGTAAAAAACATAGAAAGTTTCAATTCTATTTTCTTCATTCGAACAAAGGCTTTCTCGGCCGGGGTCACGATCAAAGAGACCAAAATCCGGGCTAGAAGGCCATGGTCGATTGCTGAAATAACAAACGTTTCGTCTACTACTGCGGCAAATATCATTATCATTGCTGAGACTTCTAGATTTGACTTTCGTCCTCACAGTCCACTCACATACCACTGATGTCTTTAATGATGAACTTCGTATGTATTTTTTAGAATTAGAGAATTTGCAAAGACTCTCAGTTAGTTTATGTTTCCTTATTAATTTAGCAGACTATTTTGAAAATATACTCATTGCAAATAAATCAATATGGAATATAGGAATGTGAATTTCATTAGTTCGGACTTCCATTGTCTAATATGATACAATATGATTTGAAATCCCTGAAACAACAAATAAAATTGTGATGTATCAACGAATTTGTAATTATAAAATGTATGTATGAAAATGTATAAAAAAATATACAGGTTCGTATTTAAAAAAGTATATTGATGATGAAATTCAATAAACGAAACGTTGCATTGAAAAATTAGTTTACCCAGATTATAAAGCACATGAAAAAAGCAAAAAGTTCCTTCGTCATTTTTTTATATTATTGAAAATGGAGGTGGTAGAGCAAAAAAATTTAATCTGTCATTTTCAGTTTTTTGCAAATATCTCACAAACCATTGATGATTTTATGGATCTGAAAATACCATTGTGTTGCATCCCTAAAAAGGTAACTTTTGTTCCCTTCAACCGTCCTTGTACGACCTACCGTTTCCGGGATAGCAATAGCGGTATCAGCTAAATATATTACAGTGTATCACTCTTAGTTTCAAACATAGTTAACCCAGATATTTATAAATTTGTGTTTGGAAACTTTGGTGCAGTAATGAATATTACTGGAGTTTCATTCCAACACCAAACCTCTTGATGATGATCACTTGGTGATTGAAACACGTGTCGAGGTGTTAAAAATAACGGTTTTGTGTTGGAATAAAACTCTAGTAATATTCAAGCTTTATACATCAGTACCTATTATCAGTTGATCCTCAAGCAGCAAATCATCCTTCACTACCCTAACCTCATTCTTCTTCTTCCAGGAATGCATCGAAAGTCCATAGAAGCCGCCGAACACCTGAAAGAAGACAGCGCCAACAGCGACCACGAAGAAACGACGTCCATGCGGACTGACGTCAGCGACACGAGCGCCACCTCCAGTCAGCCACCCACCAACCTCGTGACCTCGGGCGAAGCGGCTGAAAGTCAACACCCGTCGAGCAGTGGCAGCGCCGCCGCCCAACAGACCTATCCCGAAGATCCCGAAGCGTTCCGAAACAACTCGATCGCCTGCCTCAGGGCGAAGGCGCAGGAGCACAGCGCGAAACTTCTCAATCACAACTTGATGTTGCACGTCAGGCCGCCCCCGAGTTGCGACGCCAATGCGAATAATCTGCATCGGCAGGAGGTTGTTAGTGGCGGCGAAGGATCTGGGATGTTTTGACCCGGCTCGCAAGGGTCAGCGTAAGATTTCGTACTATTGTAAATTGTTTTTCGTCGGTACGCCACTGGGGATTGTCGGTGTTCTGTTTTTGTTTGAGTTGTTCGGGAGGTTGGAAAATAATTTGATTTGAAGTGCCGTCAATGTTTACTTGAAACTTGCAGTAGGTACAATTATTTTTTTAACGAAAGTCATTTTTGTAGTGAAAATACCCAAAAAAAATTTTATATTTTGTTTCAACATACTGACATGAAAAATACTTTCCAATAGAATTTCGGGTTGAGAATTTGTTTTTATTGGATGAATGAATGCATTATTTATCATGATGTTAATCATTACAATCACAATAGAAAATAAAAAATACATTTAATAGAATTGAACACATTTTCAACATTTCAACACTTCAGCAGATTATCTATTGATTCATCATTTATTTTTTTAGATTGTGGAAGGTTATAATCCCAAGAAAAAACAGTACGAAATATTTAATATCTTGCACCATCTCCAATCGTTGACCGTTAATTTGTATATGTAGTCCCAAACCAATAAAAATAGGTTGAGTAAGTTATGATATATGTTATTCTTTCCCAATGAATGTTTGAAATAAAACTTTTCCATTTCTGGAACCCAGTAAATCTTTTAAATATTTCCACATCTTCCGTGGATTGCCTTTATTTCCGTCAATATTTTTTTCACAATGTTTTGTAACTGTTCTATTTCTGTTTTTTTATAGAGATTTCAGTCCGCTTCTTCATTAATCAGCACAAATTTTTCAAAGGCATGATGTTCAATTACATATCAATTCCCCCTTTACACCTATCACAAAACAATTCATTATGAAATCCCAAAGTCTTTTGATCATTTCAGTTACAATTTTGTCGGGAGTATTATATGGCTCAATATTCTATGATCGTTTTTGTATTTTTTTTCCTGTGTAAGTCACCATATTGTAGTAATTACTTATTACTGAGTCGATAATACAACTATATTTTTTATGAATACATCTATGTTCACAATTTATCTGTTTTAAGCCGTTGTTCTCAATATTCCTGAATCTTTTGCTATCGTCAATCTTTTTATCGTATGATACTGTATGGCCAGGAATCCAGTGATCGTTGGTCTGACAATCATCACATAAATCTTATGGATATGTTTGGGACCTAAACCCCAAGTTTTACCACAAATCCTTTGATGTCCATAGGGACAGTCTGGCTTTGTGTAATTTTTTTTTCAAGTGAGCGTTCCAGGTGAGTTTTTTATCATTGACAATGCCAAGATATCCAACACTAGTATCTACATGAACATAGACGCAGTTCCCTTCAGTGTGCAATTTCCAATTTGAATAAATTAAATCAAACTTAATCGCCTTAGAAATCTTTTGCAATGTTGGGGTCAGCCTGGAGCTTCATGTGTCTGGAAACTCTTAGGATTATTTGAATTATGTATGGGTACTGAAAAAGCACTGGTTGAAATATCCTCCACGAGCTCCAATTGAAGAAATAATTGCACAATAACGTCTCATTTACTATTTTTTCACATATCTACATAAACCAAACATTATACAATCGGTTAGGTACACTACAGAATTGTTATAAAATCACAAGTGGTATATCAACAAAGTTTCAATTAAGAAACCATTCAAGCATTAGAGTTCAGTTATGAACCTAACAAGTAAGATCCTTAAGATGAACTATTGTGCTAAGTGCTTATAAATAAATAAATCTATTTATTTGTATTAGTCCAGTATACCACAAAATATTAAATCAAATAGAACATGGAAGAAGGAAAAAATATGAAAAAGACAAGAATAAACATAAAGACATTCAACACTAATGATCAATTAAAATATAATACAAAACATAACTATGTCAAGTACATTACATAATTGTAATTAAGTCAATATACAAACAAACACTAGAGTAAAGTTTTTACTTCAAAATAAATAAAGGTATGCATTTTCATTAGTCAAGTGTTACATTATATAATTGTAATAATATCCAAATGGTAAGCTGAGGAAGTTTGAATTGAAAAAAAGACATACAAACACTAGAGTGAGTTATGAACATTAAAATATTTACAAATTTAGAAGTGAAGATGGGATTTGTTTATTTCGAAAAAATGATTTTGATAACCTTTCAAGCAAAAACCTTTCCACACCAGTATATTCGATATTTTTATTATTTTTGATTTTTGAAAATCGATCTTTTCAATATATATTTCTTGAACCATCCGGTACGGTGGATAAAATACTGAACTGATAACTAATTTATCTGATACTGCAATCTAAAGTAAACATTGATAACATTGTTAGTGGAATCGTAAACTTGATTCACGCGTGACACTAGATATCAGTTTTTTGAGATTTACAGTAGAATTTATGAAGAACTTTTTCGAAACCCAACTTATTTTTTCAATGGACGATCTCTAAATGGTAGATGTAGATCTCAAACAACGAGAAATGCCTAAAAATTTTATTCAAAGTAAAATTGCTAAACAAACTGTCAACATCGAATTATTGATGAAGTATGATGTTTTAATATTTCCAACCTTAAAACAAATGTAATATGAGTTGTAGTGCAATATAGCAGGGGGTAGAAACATTTCAAGAACTCCTAGACGTTGACGAAAAGTTTGGGAGTTTTTCAATTAGAAAAATGTTTAACTACCCTCAACTGTAGCAATGTGTAAATTTATATAATTTTGTAAATATATAGATAAGATTATGGAAAACTTGTAGATTTTTTTAAATTATTTGTATAAAAACTGTATATTATTAGGATATAATTTCCAACTGAATGACTGTTGGAATAATTACGTTAGATATAGGAATTTGTATTCAAAAAATTCATTGTTTTTTTTTCTTATAAACCTTACTTGTGATTCAGATCATATTCAAAATTGAAAAAAAAAGTAAAGGTATTTTAAAGCACTGAATTCTAATTGAATGTCAAAAATGAGATATCTAGCCTAACCTATAAAACATCATTTTTTTTATATATTTTCAAGCTGACCTGTATCATAGGGGATACATTTCGATTTCATTCAGTTCCATATGGTATGCCACAAGGATTCATTTTGGGACCATTGTATTTTTATTCATACATTCAAATTTACAAATTTGAAAGCATACAATATTCATTAATGCAATAGATAATTTTGAAAAATTGAAAAATGACAGTGATTCAAATAAAATATTGTAAGGCTGACAAATCATAAATTAAATTTAAATTTTAATAAATCTTCATAATCATACATATTCCATAAATACCTGTCAAAGTCTAGTGGAATTTATATTTTAGTGAATAGCGAATACCTACTTTGAATATTCATCTTGAACAAAATTCTTGGGAGAGTATGTTGGTCAAAATTTGTTGTATTGAGGTATTAAGAAAAAATATATTATTTATTCTTTAGGAAATCAAAAATCCTTGTCTCAGTTTCAGATTCATATTCATACATACACAATAAAAAAAACAAAATTATTGTTCGATTTGAGTTCATTATAAAAATAAAAACAAACTACTTTGTTCACAGAATCAAAAACAAAATTAGGCATTCTATTATTTTCCCTGCAGTCTCTGAAACTAGCACTTTCAGGTTGAAATTTCTCGGAAATTCGAAGTAGAGGCCCAATTTTGATGTTAGATTTGAATTCAGTGGCTCAAACATGTTTTTCCAGGTATTCAGGTAAAAAATCCTTGTAAACTTGTGAAATCATTACGGTACTTTTGAAGACCTGTGGGGTTTATAACCGTTCCCTATATTACGAGTTCCTACTTTGCTCACTTGATTTTTTCAACCGTTTATCCCTACCACAAATACCTTACAAATTGTCGACTATTATTATCTGTCTACCCATTCGAGTGATAACCATTGAACTTATTTACGTACTTAGGAATGTTGATACGAAGTGCAAAAAGTTGAAAATAATTTTAGTTAGTAGTACTAGCGACACAACACAGTCAGTGTAGATAACGTACTTATGTAAAAAAATTAGGAATATATTGCGTTGCGCAAATTTTATTATTGCAATTAAATGTCGGGAATAAAGTGTATGTGTTCGACGAAAATGTATAATAAAAAAATATATAATAACTTGGCATTTTTATTCATCCTCAATCGATTCATCATAGAAAACAGCACCGTCGATTTTTTTACATGAAGTATCTGTAGAGTAGGGAGGGTGAGTGTAAGCCCACAGCACTTAGGCCACATGTGACCCACTGTACATCCTCCCGAGGAGTTGTCCTCCTAGGTCATCGTCCTTTCGAGGAAGGTGGACAGGTCACTGGGATATATCTCCTTTATATCGGCAGGTGTAGGCCAAGACTCGCCAAACACACCCTCTCTTATTGACGATAACTCCGGGCACTCACATAGGACATGCCTGACAGTCTCATCTTCCTGTTCACGCATCCTGCATAGAGGTGTGCCCACTAGCCCCATATTATGGAGGTGTTTGCTTAGTTGACAGTGGCCAGTCAGAAATTTTACTTTTAAGCGTAGATTTTTCCTGGTCATCGCCAGAAACTTCTTCGGCGCCAACTTCCCAGGGTCGCCCAAGGTGATCCTGGCAAGATTTCATCCTTTGATTTCATCCCATCTTTTTAGGAATTGAGCATGGGTGTGACGTTTGGCTAATTCAGCAATTTTTGAAGTCATCAGGCCGTAGGTGCAACTGGGTCCTAAAATTCTTAGTCCAGCTGCTTCCTTGGCTAAAGAGTCGGCAATGCGATTACCTTTACTCCTGTCGTGCTCTTTAACCCACCTCAGGATAATGTTATTATCTACCGAGGCTTTGGCTACATCTTGGTGACACTCTAGTACTAGCCCTGAGGTTATACGTTGTCTGTTCAAGACTAATAGGGCTTGTCTGCTGTCAGTGCAGATTGTTATGTTTTGGCTAGAAATTCTTTTCTTAGTTATTTCTTGTGTGGCGATTGAGATACCAGGCATTCCCCACCTAATCCTTGGTCTTAGTGATCTGGAGTACACTCCACATCCTGAGCCTTCTTTGGTTTTTGAGCCGTCTGTATATATGCGTATTGCATTTGTAGCATCTGATTCTGTGTTCTGCCTAATTTGTATTTCTTAGGGTTTATTAAACACAAACCTGGGTTCAATTGCGTCACTTGTTACCTTCAGCAGAGGTTGCGCAGTAAGCGCTTCCCGCCCCTTCCTGTTG